TGTTTTACAAAGATAAAACAAATATCTCTTTAGAAAATTTCGAAGAGAGTGGTATAAAATTTATATCAGAAAATTGGATATAAAATATCTCTTCGATTTAGTAAAAAGGACTGAATACGAGAAATCTTATAATGAAATGTAATGTCATCAGCCTATGAACGCCCACTGCTGAGCATAGCCTCTTCTCACATGGAGAAGGTTTGAGCATTAATCACCACGCTTGCTCAAGACGGGTTGGTGATTTCAAACTTATAATTGTGAAACTATAAGTCCAGGTTTCCTCACGATGTTTTCCTTCACCGTATGTCAGTGGTGTCTAAATAATCTCAGAAAGTACATATGATTCCGAAAAATCACATTGGTACTTGCCAGGTTTGAACCCGCGCCCTCGGCAACGAGAGGCGGACCCTTTAACCACTAGGCCACCACTGACTATGAAATGAAATATGATGATTAAAATAGTTAAATTAGTCATATAGAAAAAAGAACAATGTTATATTAATATATATACGTATAACGCCTTACGGGGTAAAAAAGAGGTATTTAAATCTTCTCTCCGTGGTCTCGTATTATATTTCGATATAGTTCCATAGTAAGGAATTTAATTGAGTGAAGTTAAGCTATAAACATTTGAGTCTATGAATTCTAACTTTATTAATGATAAAATAAATGAAAAGAAACAGAGTCAATGCATTGAGGAACAAAAAGACACCGAAGGAAGTAAGAAAAAACTTATAGTTCGTTACAAGGATTGCACGGTTGAGTTTAATAGAATAAAAACTTGATATATCTTAGCTTATTAGGTTCAAACCTTCCTTATATAAAGGACGTAACTGATTGTAATGACATCTTAAATAATGTTACATTTAAAAGGATAGTTAATAAGAGAGTTCTTAAGAGAAATTTATTATGAGAAGATTTGTAATTTATGCTTAGAAGAATAAAAGAGATTCTTGGATATTGCAAATAAACACGCTTTAAAGTTAGCAGTTACGAGAGTTATCGAGAATAATAAGGTATGACAAATTACAGATTCTAAGTGGTGAAAACAGATCTATGTTTATCGGCTACTTGAAGAAGCTGTTTATATTCAACAAAAAACTTTATAAATTTTCTTATAAAAAGAGATCTAATGTGAAAAAACAATTTGAGGCCCACGTTTATATAAATACAAGAAAATGTCAAGCTACAATTACAGGAATAAGTGTACTTGGGTAAAAATACAAAAGAATCATGAAATAGATATAAATGTCAAATAATATGATGGCTTGACAGATTTCTCATCTTATATTCAAGGTAACAGAATAAGGAAAAAGTATTCAAGAAAGAGATAAATTGTTAAATAGCTTTGAACGTATACTTTAATTTGAATCAAATTTTCAAAATTTTTACTGACTTACCATAGTTGAAATAAAAACTATAGATAACTTAGTTATATAAACCTGTAGGTTTTTTTTATTAAATCAGAATTTGAGATCTTATATTTATTCATGACTGTCAGGATGAAAATTTTAATACTATGTAGGTGTATGAAATAAAAATAGAAACTGAATGAAATAAAAAGTAAAATATCCCAGCTTAAGTATAGAAATGAACGTGATGAAAATACTTGTTATATTCAAATGAAAGAAACTCGAATGTTTTTTTTTCCTATCTTATGTGAACGATTTTCTGCAAACGCTTCGTGAATAACAACGCTCGACCATTGCGAGAAATCAATAAAAAATCTCAATCAATGTGAAAGGATATTTTCGTTATTCAGAAACAAAGAATAAAGTTTCGTGGATATAACTAGAATTATCGTTACATTAATGCTAGTGTATTAAAACTTTATCGGAGTGAATTATTATGTTCAAGTTAAAAGCGGTGAAAGTTTGGTTGTGTATTCTAACTTAAATACGTTTGCATGCAGGTATATGAATGTGATTTAAATCTCTTTAATAACTAGTCATATCTTGGAATATGGTTTTAGCAATTCCTTGATAAATAATGAATTAAATGATCCAAAAACATCCATATGTTCTTTAAAATACCCATGTATTTTAAAGACTACATAAGGGAATAAATTTCTATCTTTAACAATAATATGTTTAAAATTACTGTCATCTATACGTGTATCTGGAATCTGAAATTCAAAATGACATACATTAACTAGCAATATTAAAACATGGTTAAAATAATCACGGCTAGAAATTTCGGTTCATTGCATTCAAAACGTATACAAATAATTCCGCATAACCATTGCTCAGTGAATTTAATCGCTTCGATTTCAAAAGCCAATGCGTAATTAGACATTTGATAGATAGACAGGTATTGTAAAATTAAAGATTAAAGATATTTTAGCTTTAAATAATATAACAGTGTATCGATCAGAATTTAAAAATGGTTTTGTCCTCTTCGACCACAAAGAATAAAGGACCGATGATCTTGGTGGTAAAAAGACCGACCGTTCGGTTACCTTTGAAAAAAGGTTTTTGTTTAAACTCTCAGACTCATGACGCGGATATTATGTTAATTGGACTTTATGAAACAATGCTGATATCGTATTTTAATAATATACTTCTTATTTACCTTTATTAAAGAAGAAAGCATGATATATTTCTTTGTGTATATTTTAATTCGAGTACCTCTGTCGTTTAACATATCATAAAAGTTTAAAAGAAATTTCATCTCTTAAGCCGAAGCAACAGAATTGCAACATTATTTTATAAGATCGATAGCTGAGACGTTTGTGTTTTTTGACCAAACTTTATGTTAATTTTTCCTACACTTAATTAAATAATAAAATTACAATAATTTTCAAGGAAAAACACAAGAATAGCATGTTAAGTACCTTTCCTCTTTCTTCATGCACACTGTAAAGTTTTGCCGGCGTATATTTCTCCTTCAATAAAAATACATATAAATACTTCTTAAAATGAAACCTATATTTTTTGGATTATACAACGCGTACTTTATTATTGTAAAAAAAAACTACATACTCCCGACGTTTCGGTTACTTTTCAGCAACAATGAGTCATTTCCAACTCGTTTGCTCGTGATCACGCTATCACTGGATAATTTGCTGTCAAAAGTGTCGAGATCACATTCATACTTTGTTTATAAATAGACTAAAGACGTGAATTTAAAAGAATAGTTATAAAGAAGATTGACACAATTATATATTAAATATACATAACATTAAATAAAACTAGACTCCTGTACTTACATTCTTACGTTACGCACGCACGCAGTAAGCAGTTACAGTTACGATAAGCTGTTACGCACGCCATGTGGAAAAAGTGTGGTATAGATTACAATTAAAGGGTGTAAAATTTATAACCCAATATTAAGCCTTAGACCAAAAAAAGAAAAATTCTTCGTATAAACTCAAATATATGAACATCAGCAAACAACGATTTTCATAAGCACTTCTACACAATGATATCTTTTTTTACACATACGAAAACATTGTGAATGCATTAAACTACTCCATAAAATATTATTTCGATAATGTAGAAGTGGTTGAACAACCATTTTTATTACATTCTATTTTTACTGAAATCATTAAAGTGTCTTTTGCACTTGAATACGAGAAAATCTTTAATCTTTGATTTAAACAGTAATTTGATTGACCCGACTGTGTCAACTGAAACCGTGAACAAAAGACCTTTGTCATAATTGATTGAGATCGAAATAAATGGTAGAAAAGAAAAGAATAGATTTTTTTTTACTGCAATAGGCTTTTCACTGCCATTTCTTTTCACTATTCTATAACCTTTTTTTAATTTGAACCAGTTAAGTTAGCGTTATTTTGATAAACATTATGGTACGTTTTGTTTAATAAAAAATACATGATCTAATAAATCTCCATTATATGTAGTATCTTTAAATAACAATCTCAGTATTCTTTCGAAAGAAACAAATATTGAAACCTCGTAATCGATGAGATAAAAAAACATTCATTTAAAATGTATGGAAACAACATTCCAGTTTAGAGCACAGTATTAAAACAAAAACATGTCAAAAAATTGTCTGTTATACCATTACAAAATTTAGCTTTTAAAAGAAAGATTCAACATTGCAGTACATACTCGTACTTCATATATAGTAAGTCTCTTAATAATTTAAAACAGCTGTTGCTCGCAATATCACTACCAAATTCGCTATATATGAATCTGTTTGGGATCTAAAAATAGCAAAATTACACAATTCTCTTATATTTTTATACCTTATTTCATAGCATCGATAAATTCATAAAACCTTGAAATAACTTTTATTTTTATCATCTCCATGGTAAAAAGAAGTGATAGTTAATATTAAATTTTTTTTCTTTCCAAAATTTTGATACTGCTTTATTTATCTATTATAAACAGTATAATTTTCTTACCGCCAGATGGTGCTTAATTTTTTTTTTAATTTAATGAAAAAGAATTATAAAGAAAATAAATCAAAGTACATTTCATTGTACTTAATAATTTATAGTTATAATTTTTAGTAATAGTAATGATATTTGGGCCGGCCTAGGCACTAGCCAACCCTCTCCGTTACGCTTTTAAAGCCGCAGGGCCATACCTAAAGATTTTAATAAGAAATAATCTTTTTTATAGTTTCTGTTTATAATAACTATTTGTGTTAGGGTGTTTATGTATAAAACAGTTTCATGAATAAGATATGTGTCCATTCATGTTTCAATTTTAAACATAATGTATAACCTTACTTCATGAAAACAGATTATAATATTTCTGTCATAACGAAATTTCCTTTGAGGTATCTTTAAGCAAGTTAGATGTTTAAAAACCACGCTAATAACCTACTATTCGGATAGCAAACGTTACGTAACCAATTGATGCAGATGCTGATGTTGCAATTTCTGTACGGCCTTTTGTATTTTTCTAGCTAAATCTATTTATAAATAATTAATTATACGTATATATTTTCTTTGTACCATAAACCCTTTGATGTTCGTACTAAAACCGTGTCACACGATTACGCAATTAATTTGCTATTTTTGTTTTTGAATGCGAAAGAGGACGAGGTTCGCCCGGACGGTTGCCATGACTACCGGGGGCGCAGGCGGCGCGCGCCCGCATCTCTCTCGCAGAACTGTCTTTGCTATCGTTGTGGAGGCTGTGTCGAACCGTCCTAAATCGTTTTCAGACGTAACACTAGCTCTCCGTGCGTCGTGCGTGTTGACAGTTAATGCTGTACAGTGTTTTCAACTCGGCTGGTGCTTCTGTAGTGATCGTGAATGTGTGAATGCAATAACCTCGCCATGACACGGGGGTCGTAGCTGTGACCGTTGCAGGGGAGGGGCGCGTTACACGCTTCATATCATGCCATTCGAATTGAGATCAGGTAAGCTTTGTTTCAGCTGATAATGGTATTCTTTTAAGCGGATTGCATTGTTATACATTTATTTCTTTAGAAACCGTAATGTGTTGTGAAAATTAAGCCTTAATTTGATTGTCATAATTTAGGACTACTCTGCGTTGTAACTAATGTAAATTGCATGTATTTGTGCATATAAGTAATGTACTATTGTTTAATAAAATATCTATTTATGTCATATATTATAGTAAAGTTTTTCCAATAAGTACAAGCAAACGTACAATATGTTAAAAGAGTCCAATATATATTTTTGTCATAATTTATAGTGATGTTATCTTAGTGGGATGATTTTGGGTAGTTTGCGGAAATCCCTTCCGGCCTTTTTATGATTGGGTTTCAAAGCACGAAAAAAGTATTTAAGGTTATCAAAGGGGTTATTTTATACTCTCACATCTAGTATATATCTATGTATGTAGGTATGTACATACCTAGTATATTTTCTTTGTATGTGTAAACTAGGTCATGCATTTGTGGTATTTGGTTAATTCAACAGTCCGTTGAATTGTATTAGGGTATTCTAATTGTTTAGATATATTAATGGTAATATGATTCCAAATATTTGCAATGTAAATTGAATTTTATTGAAATGAAATTAAAGTTTTTATTTAATTAAAAACAATGATAAATTTCAGATGAAGATACAATCAATAAGAGTAATAAATATTAAGGTTTTAAGTATATAGATATTGGTCGCATTTTAATGCATATGTGTAATATTACTTTTATTCTTTGTTCTAGCGATGAAAGCAGAAATATTTGACGCTTTAGCTAAATGCTTTGTGTATCTATTTGGAAATATATGCAGTTCTGATTTCTCAGCAAAAAATAAAATCAGATTTATTACATCTATCTATCTATTACAACTATTCAGTCATTCTATCTATCTATTACACCTATTCATACTTAAACTGTACGTTTAAAATATCTTAAATCTTTTCATGTAAGAATATATCGAAAGCCACATTATATCTCACTACCTATGTACATGTTTTACCAGCCTGTGTAATACCTTATATATTTTTAAGTACTTCACGCCACAGTTGCAGGGACGTTTCATGTTGATAATCCTTTTTAAGAAATTTCAAGCACAATTTACATCTTCATACTTCAAGCATAAAGTTTTATGACGAACGGCTTTAATTCTGCATTGGTTAAGAAACAGGTTTTCCACTTTTCTCTTGCTATCAAATTCGTTAAAAATATACAACTACATATTTAATTGTTTTAAATCAAATAGAAGGTTTTTTCATACAGTCTGTTTTATTATTTCAATATAATCACACATAAAAAGATAGAATATTATCACATATAAATATAAATTTAATATTTTATCTCGTATTTATAATTTTGACAGTGGTAACTGATGAAATATCACGACCTCATAACCAATGCCATTAACGTAATTATATTTTATTAAATTATTAATTAAAATTACGCTTTTTAATGGAATAAAGCATATATTACATAATCATATATGTGAAACATAAATTAAATATTTTATTAGAATTTATTTGAGTATTCGAACGGGAACTATTACTATTGAAAATATGTATGTTACGAATTTCTTAAAAAACTTGTAAGGTATTGTTAATGACAATTTATTCAACTAATATAAGGTTGCAACCGGAAAAATAATGAGAGTGGTTTTACGAGAAACTTACCAGACAGGCTTTACCTATAACTTCTTTTCGCCATTTTCTCAGAATCCCTACATATTGCAGTTTTTTATGTAAGAAATATGGTACGCGGAGATATGCCAGTATTGTGATATCACGTTGCAAATAGATAGTCCATTCTGGGTTTAATTGACTATCAGCAGTATAAATAAAGAACATTTGAGTATGAATCTGTTCAAATCTCGACTCCACAAAAATCTTGCGAACGAAACTATTAAGGACCATAGCCATCGAGGTCCTGCGCTTTTCACTCTTAATCACTCTTAATAAACATTGTAATTGTATGTCAAAATTTCCACTGTTCTTAGTATATTTTTTAAAGCAAAAATAATAATAATCCTTTGCTAATATAAATGATATACCTTAATTGTGTCCATAGTGATAAAAACCATTGAACCCAAAATTTCAATTTCAGTGAACCACAAATTGATTAACCCGGGACCACTTTAATCATTTAAGATAGATATCTCTATATTATTAGCTGTGAGCAATAATCCAATTATTAGAATAGTAATTAACTTTACTAATAATACTATCGTTTCAATAATTAAGAGAATTATATAGATCTATATGGTCTGTCCAGTAATAAGGCAAATTAAAGTATAATACTTACTTTTTGTATTTTGTATGTTAAAATAACGCAACGTAAAAATTATAAGGATAGTGATGTAATTTTGAGTCAGCGCATAAATTGCAATTTAGCTATGAAAAGGCTTTAGTTTTTATAGATAATTTTAGAGGAATAGTTTACGAAACTTTGTATTCATATTTAAATACCTACAAAAAATATGAGAATGTAAACTTCCTAACGTACTTCAATATTGAAATTTCATATTTTCATAGCAACGTTTTACTTGCAAATGAAAAGAATATTTTTGTTTTTAGTATTCTTAGCCACTTGACATATAATGAACCTCGGATGAAAGTGTTTAATTAAAAAAGAATAATTTGCATTTTAAAAACTAGTGACAAATACATATTTAGATACAGTTTTTCAAAAAAAAAAATATTTTTTTTAATAAATTTTACGTCAAGTGGTTCCAACAGATGATTAGACACAACCCTTCTCGTCAGTTTTGTTTTATTCGTTTAAGCAAAAAGTACGAAATGCATTAAATTAATAATATATTATTAATATTATTGTATTCGCACATGTTTGCCCATTTTTACAGTAAAATTGTACATGGAAGAACAATAGATATTCATGAGACCTTTATTACAGCAGGTTGACGCCGCCACGGGTCGCAAGCTAAAAAATTAATTACCTCGTATACATGTGCGTACATTGTTATTTAGTGTTAACTACACGTTAACAACGAGTCTTTTTATACGTATATATAAACATTTACTCTTGTATTACTAAAAAATGTAATTTGGATAGTAAATTTATACTTGTATTTATACAAAAATTGCTTTTAGTTTTCCTATAACCGATTATAATTATGTTTTTAATATTTTTGTTACTTATCTAATTACATTTCATTTATTTGTACTAGATTTTTATTTTCCTACGAAATCTTAAATACGTTAACATAAACAAACACTTTTATTACTTTTCTTCTAATTAGGAAATACAGAATTTGCATAATTTAAACATGAATGTAAATATTACATTTTCAGTTATTATTTTTCTTGTAAAACTTTTGTCTATGCCTACTATTATTATTCATATTCTCTTTGGATTCCAGCCTTCTACGTATACGTTCCTTATAAGTCTTAATGCTATCATATTGATCACAAAACCTACCGACACCCTACTCTATTATTCCTGCTGCCTTCTCAAGTGTAAAAGTCGATTTTATTTTCGTATTCCAATCGTGATTCAAACTTTATTTTTCTTCTCCATTTATCGGACTTTATTTTAATTTGACAATGCCGAGCTTTCAAGGACCTAGAGGATTTTTTTTATTTATTTCAAATTTAATATTTCTGTTTCTCTTCCTTCTTCTCGAGAATATCTTTTCGTAATAGGGGACTTTAGAAATACCTATTTAAAATGAATTTTTTGTTACTCTTTTCACTTCACCATGTTAGAATATCTTTTTCTTAAGATTACTTGTCGTTTATTGATTTTGCTATGGTTTCAAAATCCATTGCGTACTTATGTCTCTTGTTTTTTACAATCTTTACTCAACTCCTCTCACATGAAAAGGCGAGGCCATTTTCTGAACTCTGAGCTTCAAGGACAGTTCCCGAATACCACTTCATCTCTGGCTGAGAGTTTTAAGCATAAAAAGCTCGACGTGATTCCTCCAATGAAATGTCATTACTTAGATTTATGGTGTCTTAGTCCTAATAAGTTTATTCAACTGATAAACTTCCCTTTACCATGGTATATTGATAAAACACCCGACACTGTCAACCACTTTATAAATATCTTCCCTATATGAAGTTAGCAAATGCTTTACTAAAATAGAAAGGGCCGGAACTGTCAATATCGTTACATTTACTTCTATAAAAATATGTACCTACGACACTCACCATTGTGACGACTCTTCAAATCATTACGTACGAAATATCTTCTGCCTCCTTCAATGAACGTATTTGCTGAGGTTAAAGTAACCTATCTTCGTTATATTTTTTAGTAATTTCAACAAATACTCCACTAAACATTCTTAATGTACTCACTTTTTCATAAAAATGATCTTCCATTCTAATATTAAGAATTATTTCAGGAATATGAATTATATTATATTCTTATATTAGCTCTTAAAATATGAATCATCTAATATATTCCCTAATATAATATACGGTAATCTTCAATTTAAAAATAAAATCCTTTTTTCCTTAAATATCTTCTTCACTTCTAAAATTAATTTTCCATCTACTTAAAAATTAATCCCACATATCAAAAGTTTAAACAATACTGTTTTTAGAAAACTGACTAAATTTTTCCATCAAATATTAATTTTTAATCAACTTTCCTCAGCTCCTCTGTAACTTAATAGAAAAGAGGCAAAGATAAAAAAACTAATAATTCTTATTATAATATAATCAAGGAAAACTTGCACTTACTTTTATGTATCTACTGTTGGGGATTATGAGTTACTTTTAGACATCTCTACAAATTATTAACTGGTTTTATTTATAACATCACAGAGGTTAGTAGAAGACCTAATCTGGAGACATTTTCTTTCATAAAGCAAATGGTGGAGTCCCTTATTGGACGGGTACGTTTTACATAACATGCTTTTTCCTTTTTTCATAAATGG